CAATTCTAATAACCAGTGGGGTGGTGGGTGCAAACTGATGAAGAGTCCCGAATCGAGACAAAACGCTGTTCAGTACTCCTTCTAACTGACATGAATCCAGGATCAAACCTGGGACAAGTAAAATCGCTACAAATTAACTCTTGGAAGATTCACTTAAATTTATATACTTTTTCACTTTATTTGTGATGTTTAACAAAATTCAAGTAATTCTACTGAAGTTTTGGCACACACAACGAAACGTTTAATAAAAAAATCTTATTTTGATTTTCCAAGTACACTGTGGAATTGATTATTCTAAGCAATTTTATATATTAAACAGATATGACTTGGAATTCAAATTATTCCAGGAAATTCGCAACACCTATCATCTGAAGGTTTATAATCATATTCATACTATGATTAGTAAATTATTGATTTCAGGATTATTTTTCGACCTATACTCAAAGTCTGAAGATATGGCTTTGGTTGCACCGTGCTGATTTTATTGACAGGTGTAATATCACCTCTGCGAAGGGTTAGTTGTCTCATGATTGTTTCTACAGCTAGTTAAATGTACAATAAGAATCCGAATGCCCACATTTCCTGAATTTCTAAATAACAGCACGATTATGCCTCATCTCTTGATAAGACTTAAACAGTCCTTCTTTGTGAGTTTCGCAGGGTAGTTCTTCTACCAGTCCCTAGTTACCTTCTCTTCCTTCCATACCTTTTGGTGTGAGCATATCCTCTTTGGTCTCTCGATCGGTTTTTTGTGCTTCAGGGGGAATTCTTTCCAGCCCTGCTGTCTTCCCTACTCTCACTGACTTTATGGCATCCAAGGCTCCTGCTTTTTTCAGAGGATTGTTGTCTACCAACAGTGCTGTGGCTGTAAGTGGTATTCATAAACGATTTGTAGGTGGTGGTTGGTTCAGAAGTCATTTGCAGTGATCGACCCAATGTTACCTTTGATTCTTCTTTTTGGCAATCAGATCCCTTCACTATCTTACACTGGTTTCATCTTTGTTGATGGTTACTTCTTGTCATTTCTACCTCTTTTGCTCTTCACACGGAGTATCAAATCTCTGTTAATTCGGCCAGACTTTTGAATTCCTCTCATTGGGGCCATGGTATTCGAGTAGTAGGTCGCATATTTTGATGTATTTAATTAACAGTAAGAAGGAATCCTGAATATCAGTACTGTACTTAGGTATCGTCCACTACTAAAACATAATTGAATATTCAATTTTGTTATTTGGTTTCGAACAGTCCCAGTTACTATTATAATAACAGCTACAACAGAAACAGTATGAGGAATGTCAAATGAAACTGATCGATAGAGAAGATTTGCAGCTCAGGTGGATAATTTTGATGTGGTTTTGTTCTCTGAGCTGGATGGTTAGTTTGCGAAGCTTTCATCGCCCTACTGGGTGACATCTTCAGCGCATACTTCAATTTGAAGTATGCGCTGAAGATGTCACCCAGTAGGGCGATGAAAGCTTCGCAAACTAACCATCCAGCTCAGAGAACAAAACCAAATCAAAAGAAACTGATCGAGGCTGTTACTGACAGACATTTAAAGTAGTCTGTATGTGGAAGACAAGCTGACTTAAGGGGTTACATCAATATCAATATATATGATTTTAGCTTGTATCCGTGGAGTTAAATATATTGTCTGTCTCATGTATTCACTTGGGAGAAGTATTCGTGGAAACTATCCTGTCTGGTTAGTAAAAGGATAGCGGTAGTAGTACACTGTGTGTGGTACTTTTGACAAATCCTTCGTAATCTCATCCATAGTTTTATCAAGCCTGTCAAAGCAACTGTGACCGAGACATCTGAACTCAGATGAATTATTAGCAGACAAATGATTTGACACAACATTATGTATGTTCAGGGGTGAAAATAGTTCTCACATTTTCTTATCCTTTTTTAAAGATACATTCACGAATGTACAGCTGAACTGATAACTTAGTAGAAGGAAGAAGAAAATTGTTTTAATTGCACACCGGAAGTGTCTTTTCGTTGGTAATTTCTCTAAGTCACTCATCCGCTCCTCATTTATGGTCAAACATATAGGCGTATTCCGTAATTTGATAAGTGTTTTTTTGATAGATTTAGTATACAATGAGTGATACAGAATTATTAACTGGATAAGGAGGTTTCGACCACAATCTACTGGTCATTACCGTAAGAATTTATTTACACAGTTTTATAATTTACTGCAAAGGAAAAACTCAACGATATCCAATTTGTACCATGTTCTGTGTGATAGAGATGGTGTTCAGCGTGAGATTTATAACTTGCTATGTAATTAGCGAAATAATTGGCGCTTTTGTCATCACCGATTTGTAATTTGTGGTAACACTGTTTCCAGTTATCTTATAGTTTTAGTTATTAACATTATTATTATTATTACTATCATTATCATTTTATACTTTTTGTACATTTTTAACTTTATTGTCACTGATAATACCAAAAAGCTGCTATTGTCAATTTTGGTTATCTTATGCTCGGTAAAGTAATTTTTTGTTTGTTTTTGATGTTGTCAACTAAATTAGATCCAACATTGTATCAAAATCCAAAGAATTCCACATTGTATCGTGAGTATTGTTTTGGAATACACCGAACAATTATTACTACTTTTCCATTTCCCCTTGTTGTTTATTGCGATTTCCTATATATCCGGTATGCATGCTGCATCATTTCTATTGTACATGGTGATTCGATGAACAATGATTCTCTTTAGGGAGGTTCAAACCAGACTGTATCTATACAATCAAACCAGAAGCCTAACCACTACTAACTGAGAAGATTTAAACAAGTAAAGTGAAAAATAAATAAGCAAAACAATGCTATGGAATAAAAACCCAATGTGTTTTAAGCAAAAATATATGAAGACCCATAAGAAAAATAAGAGCAGTAGTAAACTAATTGATGAAAGTAGCATAAATAATAAGGAATTTAAAGCTTCGACATTACTGCGATTTAGGGAAGCAACACACCAGGGCCTACACGTAACATTTTCAACAAGTCCGGAGATAAAGTGGCATTGAACCAGTCAACTCAATCACAGACAAACTTTGTCAACATAAGAATCTGGAAGATGCAATTTGGAAAAGATGGCATAATTTAGGAAATACCCTGTAGTGAATATCAGCAGTGAATAGAATATAGGGTGAATTTGATTTTCAGAACTTAAGAATCTAGCTAGACCTAGAATTATTGACCCTGCTAAGTTATATAATCTAGGAGAAAGCTCGGCCATCGCATAATATTCAGTTGCATGTAATTACACAATAGGCTGGGAGAAAGAGCAAAAGTATTAAAAAGTGAAATATGGTTGGGTAGAGGGAGACAGAGGTTAATCACGGAATCTTTGTTCATCGAGTCGACACCAGTCAACACGTGCTACAGAAATGATGCAATAACTTTAGTGAGTGTAGATATGGAAAACTGCAATAAACGACATCAGAGAGAGAGAGAGAGAGAGAGAGGAAAAAACATGGATAAATGTATAAAACAAATTATGCAGCTGTGTGAATGCATACACATTGATACTGCTATGAGCAGCAGTAAACTGCATTCAAAACGTTATTATCCATTGTGTATTATGTGATACAAAGTATCTAATATGCTTTCACCAAAAATAGATGAACCAATCATACCATCTTTTTGATGTCTACAATCTTTGTTTGAGTATGAATAATCGATAGTGAAGATGCCGATGATGATGTTGAATGAGGCTTATTCAGATCAATCACTGAAACTGATCATTTCTCCAATCAAAGCGTTTGTTTCTAACAAACACTTAAACTGTCTATTTTCCCTTTAATCTCAGTTATGTTTATCTACTAAGATTTAATTTAAACTTTAATCCAAAACACAGAAATTAGAATAAATCCTTCTTTTGATCGACAAGTGTGTATGTATGTGTTTGTGTGATTTCCTACTCCTGATAACCAAGACAGAAAGGATCGACAAAGTCACTTGACACTTCCTTAATGACTTTTTATTATCACTTTTATTATTATTTTGTATTCTATATCTTGACGAGAAAAAAAAGCAGACCAGGCAGGAAAAAACAACCAAATGGATTTATCAAATCAATGTGTTACTCCACTCTTAGTGTATGTAACCGCACTTGACTTTTTCTTTATTTTTAAGTGATACTTTTCTCAGGGATTGTACTGACCTCCAATTACATTGCTAACTGTAAATAAGGAATCACTGGACAGGTGTTTGGTCCCTGTCTTGAACTCTTCAGTGGTATGCATCCATCACCCATCCAATTGGGAATCGAATCGAGGGGATCCACGTTACAAAGGGAAACTGTCGACTCTTCAGCTACTGGGACGGAATCCACTAGACTGCCAATAAGTTACGCCGATTCGGGATATATACAGCTATCGCAAGCCAGTGTCATCAGCGACTATTTGTTCTCATGCCTTCGCCTTGGTGGAACCCATTGGTTAAAGCTTGCCAGTTGAACTTCAGACAACTTCATCCCGTAGACACCTACTAGTGAGCCTTTACTTACTTTTCAAGCGTTTGTCTGCAAGGATTTGGTTGGTTTTTAGTTAGGTTATACAGTGACCGACATCAATTAAGGAACCAGTGAAAACTAGGTGTTAGAGAGTTGTTTCGTCTGTGTTTTCTACCCTTCTCTAGGACTCACATAAGATCGAAACCGGCATCTTTAGGTTACAAAGCCAGCCCAATCTCCTTTCAGTCGCTAAGATGGAATCCAGTGGACAGCCCAACTATTCTAACTTCTGTCAGCCAATGTTATCCCTTAGTATTAATCCTTAAAACTTTGCACACCTAGCTAGTCACGATTTATCTGCAGAACTCGAAGCATCCTCATCCTGTGAATAGTAATTAGTGAGCATTGGGTTAATTTTCAAGTGAGATGGCATTGACTGGTATTAGTGTGAATCGACAGAAATTAGAGTTTATAGGCAATGGGCTTTACCTGTCTGCAAAATAATAATTATAAAACGAAAGCCTGTCTACCCACTAACCTGCACATATAAACACTTGGGTCGCCTGCCACGTAAAAGCATTCCCCACCATTCTTACAATATTCTTTAGCTTGGATTGGGCAATGATTGAATATAGGCACTGGGCAAAAGGAAAAGTAATAGATAATATTCAAAATCAATAATAACAGCTTTATTCTGGACAATGTGTTAACAGAATTCACAAAGTATTGCATTTACAAAATATCGACCCTTTTTTCGGGATCTTTAGGTCAAATGCCATTCGGTAATACATTGTGTGTTGTTATGTCTGAAGCAATATTTCAATCTATGGTATTTTTCCCACATTTTCATTAAGAAATTCTCCTCGCGAAATCAAATTACCTTGATCAGACAATTGGAATACAGATAAAGAAGACTGGATAATTGTTAAAAGAAGTATTAAAAAGAAATACTACACACATGATATTACACTGAGTAATTGTATCTTGCGTGTTATCGCAATATCTTCCAGTTACTTCAAAGATAATCTATACAGACCTCATACCATTAGCGATAGACATTTTCATCCAGGTGAGTGTAGATCATGGTATTTTGGGATCTATTGATATTCCTGACACTTTTCTTTAACCCATCGCGAAACGATAACCTTAATGGTAAAATCTTTGACAGAAAAAAGTATCCAGTGATTAAAAGGAATACTGCACCAACCCTCACCAAATCTGCGAACTCAGACAGGATTTGATTTGGAATAACTTTTCATAATCTTCCCTAAATCTAATTGGTATTTTTGGCTTAATTTTTGATAAACCTTGAGTTTAACTACAGTAGTTTAACATTATCATTCTCCGCATTATGTCAGCTGACAGCTAAAAATGCGCAATAGTTCCTATAGCAATCCAAAGACATGATTATGTGATTGAAACAGTAAGAAATGGGTGTAAATCTAAGACGCTCAGTGTTTTAAGCAGATCACCGATTTACACGAAACAAACATGATGAGTAAATACGGGGCGAAAATAAGAAGGAAAAGAAAATGAGATTAGAAGCTGTTAATTTTTGGTGACTTAAACATAAAACCTTTGGAAGTTTTTTCTAACGAATATTCTGAAACGATAAATGCACTACTCCAAATATGACCTTGGAAGTTAGACGAAGCCGTTTCACTATATCCCAAAGGATTAATTACTAAGTAACCTTCACTCTTTGAAGTCTGACTATTCTACACATTGTCTGGCTAACAGTTACCAGTGTACACTGTTTAGGAATCCTAAATTACCTGTAAAGTGAGTAATTCACTAACATCAGGTGATTCTTTGTGTAATTTGATGTCCTTTTTATTTAACAAAAATTATTGTGAATTCAGCCAATTTCCAAATGATCAATGTCGTTTAATCTAGAAGACTTTTCATTCAAGCAAAATCATTTCCTATCCTCTAAGCTGTGATATTTCATCTTTCACCGACTATAAAATGCAGTTGCCTGAAATTCCAGGGAGAAATCATTACCAGTGGGATCCATGAAGTCAAATGTGAAGATAAACACTTGTTGGCAACATCCACCGGCTATGATGCCATTTAACGCGAATAGACTGAAGTTAGAATTCATGAGTTGGTCATTGAATTTCATCCCAGCAACTCAATAGATGGTGGTCTTGGACAGAATTGCCGATGAGATCATACGTGCATCCTGTGGAAGAGTCTTCAACATGGAGTAAACAACAGTCCAATATTCGCTGGTTTTTATTGTGGTTCTCTAAATGATGTTCATGCTAGAAGAAACCTGAAATCAGTCAAACTCGTCAAAAACCACACTTGTTGCACACTCGTAATGTTATCCTTGAGAAGTCTCACGATTTTAGTTAATTTTGATTTCAAATAAATTTTTAATGATAGTCTTGGGGATATTGGGTATTAGTTTATTAGGAGCATTGCATGCCCTCAAAGTTATTTACAGAATGAAGTGCTAAAACTTTAGACTTCTTTTTCGGCATATCTGTGTGCTTTCCTTAAACGAAATAAGTTGCTAAACATAGAGTAAGCGATTTCAGTCAAACTGATTATGTGAAAATCTGAGAATGGGATTAGTGTTAATAAGAGTAAGCAGTTCAGTTAAACTTACTCCTATGAACTCATCTAGATAATATTTAGTTATGACTGACATACTAATAGCTCACTAGTATATGCTAGATGGGACTCTAGACAGGCGAACAGAAAAGAGAACAGAAGAAGACTTGGATCGTACGAATGAGTTATGTTTTATCTTAAACTAATTCGAAGATATACAGATGGAAATCAAAAAACTGTGAGAAGAGTCAATGAAGACAGATAAGACGGAGGTGATAAATATGCCTAACCAACAACAACAACACCATCAAACACCAATCACCATCAACCGAAGGAATTTGAATTAAGTCACCTCTTCCACTTATCTACGTGGAAAAGTTTCAGGTATAAACAGGCGTCAAAGATGAGAATGTTAGACTCAGAATGGTTGGAAAAGCAAGATACACTTCATTCAACATAAGAAACAAGATCGGAACTTTCAACAGTACTTAAGAGACTTAATGTGTCATGAAAAGCATTTCCAACAGCTAGCTACGGACTTTTAATCAACAGTTGCCTTCACTTCACGCTGAAGAGTAGATGGCCGTATAGAGAAGATTAGAAACAAGGAACTCTCGCCATGAACTAACCAAGAGGATGTCGTCCCAAAAATAATCAAAAGGAAGTGGATGTAGATGGATTGGACAAATGTCGAAGAAGCTTTTGAGTGAAATTATGCGTCAGGCAGGCCGTCAAGGGAACCTCGAATGGGAAGTGATGATGTAGGGCGTGGATACGAAGTTGACATTGAGGAAATCGTATCAAAAGACAATCGTGAATTCAGCTAAAAATGACTGTAGTGGACATTATGAAATGGAGATTTGTCTAGGCTGAAGCTCTAAGTTCCACTGGGAACTCAAAGGAATTATGGTTATATAATAATACAAATATTCCTTGATTACCATTCAAGTATTCAGCTGAGTGTTATTCTTTGTTACATAACAAATTTTCCGTCATGTATGCCCGTCCAGTCTATTCGTTTATATCTCTAGTAGCTTTTTAAATCAAACTGAAAATCTGTCAGCAGACTTTTATAAAAATAAAACGGATATGAAGTTTGTCTAACTGAATAATATGAGTTCATAATACACCTACGACATGCATCATTGATTCATATATTATATCTATACTCAGGTCTATTTCCTGCTGTCAGAAAATGACACATACTTTAGGAGTTTAACCTTCACATAGATAACTTTTCTGACAGTAGATTAACTACCTTACGTGATCATTGTTGTGTGCGTTAAGTAACGTGTTTTTTTATAATACATTTTTATCTCAGTTTTGATCATGCAATGACACCAGTCAAAGAACCAGGGAGTAATAGATAACTGTTTCGTCATTGTTTGGGACTATTCATGGTACACACTCATCACCCATCCCAATGGGGATTGAATCCACAGGCTTCAAGTTACTAGGCGAGACTATTGAACATTCAGTCACTGGGATGGACTTCAATAGCCAGGCCATCATTTCAAGATTTTCAACATAATCCCCAGTCAGTGTCATTGGCGTGTATATGTCACCACACCCAACCTGGTGAACCCCATCGATCACGACTTCTCACAAGTCACTAGTGAGCATCAGATTAATTTTCAAGTAGTTTCCATCCTCAGCGGGAGGGTAGACAATGTGTACTGCTAGGAACTCCCGTGTTGTAGCATAGCAGCCGTCCAGTACTTCCTACTAGTTTCCACTGCTTCTTTAACCGATCTCAATCTGTAATCAAATTTAAAACTAATCAAATACCTAAAAACTAACCTCTGAAAAGTTTACCTACTGAAAACATTTTTAAGTAGCTAAAATCACTCTTGTTATTTACTTTTATGCATCGAAACAATACCTATGCTTATCTATCATGTTTAGATCTGGTAAATGATTTAGCTAAAGTTTCTATCATCTTATCATCGAATCAAAATAAACAGGAAATTTTATTTCATTTAAATTAATAAATCATTTTTATTTCTTCTCCGTAATTTTTTGTGGGTGTGCATACGCGTGTATGTTGGATAAATTAAATTGTTTTAATAAATAAAAAATTAATGACTGATAACTTTTCATTTTCCTACCGTGATTTCGTCCTCTAGACAACTACTCATCAGTTGAAGTGAGTTATGTGGAGTTTCGCCATGGTACTTAATTATTCTTCCTGTTATCTCTGTGTCCACAATTTAAGGATTACCATCCATATGACATCTGAATGCTATGCATGGAAACGGAACTGTTAGATATCACTTAGCTTATCATAACGAGCCAAAATCAATTAGAGAACCATTAAAATTCACGGAGTACTGGACAACCATCTGCTTCATCCCATTTTGAGAGGCTTAAACAGTATGCCGGGAATAATGTGAATAACTTTCATGTTACAAGGCGAGCTAATTGATTATTCAGCTGCCTAATGGGTATTCAGTGGCCCATATGTTGATATCGTCGACGAATGTTATCTATGAGTATTTTCCCTTACACCAAAAATAAAGGACCCCAATATTCACAAATTCTCAAAAGAGCTGTAAAACATCCATCCTGAATGTACTGCACATCAATAGACTGACATTCAACTTTTTGAGTTCGTAAGGATTTTGGATGAAGATGAGTTATGGAGTATAACAGAGACGTAAACGCTAAACTTTAGTGGAGGTTATGAACGTTGTTCACCTTCTGACGTTACGGGTGTGAGTTAGGCCAAGGAATTACGGTGAACGCATTGTAGCTTAGACGTTTAAATTTACAATTTATTAACAAAATCCAGGATTTTCTAATCGTTCATTTGGATTAGTCGCTCAAAGTCGTTTTTCTGCTGGTAAAGTTTACCATGATTGAACTTTGACTAATTTGCGTGTGTAGATTTCGTCACAAACCGTCATCAGTTAGACGATGACTAAGAATCAAGAAGAACTAAACAACTATTTCGTCCTTCTTCTGGGACCCTTCATTCATACGCACTCACAATCAAACCAGGGATCGGAACGTAATCAATGAAAATCTCTACAAAACTCATAATAAGAGTTCAATAAGACTGGAGTGAATTAATTTT